GGGCCCGGCGTGTCCCGTCCCTCAGCGCGGGCGCGGCGCGCCAGGGGGCGCTGCGGGCACCAAGATGGCGGCGGGCGGTGCGCGCGGCGCGGCGGGGCCGCGGTAGAGGCTCCGGGCAGTGCCCCGGTGGTCCCGGCGCCCTGCCCGCCGCGGGCCGGGCAGCGGAGCGAGTGTGGCTGGCGGTGCGTGGGGATCGACTGCGGCTCGCTCGGGGGACCAGGGGGCTTGGGGGGTCTCGCTTGTCGCTTGTGCGGCCTCGGTGCTGGGGGAGGGGCTCCCGCTGGAGGAGCGCGGGCCGGCCGGGCCAGGGCGGGCGGCGGGYGCGGGGACGCCGCTGCTCCTCCACGTCGCGTCTTTCCACGCCGCCGGACCCCCCCGCGCTGGGCGGCCGTGGTGAGTCAGCGCCGGGCCCGTCGCGCCCGGTCCCCCCCCACCCCCGGTGAGTCGGCGGCGGCGCTGCGGGTCATGCTCGGGCATGTCGGGCCGGGCCGGCGCGGGAGCTAAGCCCTGACTTGCCTCCTGGCAGCGCTATATAAGGACCGGCCCGGCCCGACTTGGCCCAGACGCAGCCGCCGGAGTCCGGCGTGGGGACTGGACGAGGCACCGAGGTGAGTGGGCTCCGCCTGGGTGGCGGCTGACGCCCGCCCGGGTTGTGTCGCTGTGTGCTGCTTTCTGAGGTTGTTCTTCCCTTAACTGCAGGCAAATGTGCAATACCAAGATGTCCTCCCTTACGGATGCCGCCTCTGTCACCGCTTCGGAGCAAGAGGCGCTGGTCAGTAACYCTTCTGTGATAGACGCGCGATTGTTTTGCATACTTTTTGTAGAGTTTTTAGCGGCTAATTCCGAAGAATCGCTGTGCTTAGCGAGCGATGGCTGGAAAAAAGCCAGGAAGTCCAGCCAGTGAAGGTGGTCTCTTTTTGGTCCTGTAGTAGGCAAATCTTAGCCATAGTTCAGGGTGATAGTTTAGGTCTAGACTGTTTACTGGAGACCTTTGATGGTTTTTGATTTCTTTGAACAAAAAGGATCCTATGATCCGATTTGATTATGGCAATTACTTCGTGGTGGAAATTGTTAATAGGTCATAACTGAAGACTTGTGGAAAATCTCTATTGTGCTAACCATACTGTTTGTGAAATGCGCCAAAGGTTTTCGACTTTCTCCTCTATTGGAATTCATAAGCAGGTTGTAAGAAGAGTCTTATTTGTGTTTATGGCTTTGCATATTCAAGCTTTTCATGGTACAGTGACAGTTCYGCTATTTTGTGCTTATGTTTTCCTGAGGATGGAAGCCTTTTACACCTGAAATGTGAGTTATAAACGGCATCTGTACAATGATGGTTGARCTGGATTACTCTGTGTAGAAGGGTAAAGCTCAGAAGTGTAGACTGACAGTAGAACTTMAAAAAAGTGAAATAGCAGAACAGTGGACTGTTCAAAATTGGGKTTTTTTTGTTTGTTTTTTCCCTTTTTAAAGTTGTCATACTGTGATGTTACTGTGTGCCATCAGATCTACAAGGCTGAAGAACTTCATACTTAGAGGAGTCAGGAAGAAAAAGCTGGGGAGTAAAAGTAGGCTTAGTTGTGGATTCAGAGTTCTGAACTCTGGGCTTCCTATGCTTAGCTGTCAGTAGGGCTTTAATAAGTTACTGTTTCCTTACTTTTTGAAACTTTGATATATGCCGCATGTTCTAAATAATTCACGTCTTAGGAGGGGATGAAGAGACAACTAATGCTATCCACAAGTTTGGGGTTTTTTCATTATGTATATTTCTTGCAACTAATTTCTTGTTAACTCACTAAAACTTGGTTGGTTTTAGCAGATCTATGGAATGAAATGTGGGGAAGTTCCCATCCTCCACCCTTACCATAAACATTTATTCCTTGTCTCGTGATGCTTTATTCACACTTCCCCCTATTTTTTTTTAATTTTCTGTGTTTATCTTTTATATTTTATTTTGTGTAATATATTAGGATAGCTAAATATTAGCCTGGTTTTCGAATGATTATGCCATGTTAAAGAGGTGACACTGGAATATTCTGCACTGGGAGCCATCAGTGGCTCCATAGGCTTTGCTGTTGAGGGAGCCCCTGCAGCTTGTTCTCATCTGCTGCACTGATGCTGGCGCAGCTGTGTGGAAYGGTGCAGTTTGTATGTATGGGGGACGTGATTTTCTTGTTTAAGTTTTCCTTCCTCTACTTTAGAAACAGACATGTCATAGACAGGCTGCAGATAAAACTGCTGCCTCAGTGAGTAGGTGGAAGCCATTGCAGAGGGAGGAGTGAGTGAAGTGTGACTGAAAGGACAGGGTGCTTGTCCCAGCTGAGAAAAGTCTCCAGAGGTAAAGCAGCCTGGCTGGCAAATGCCAAAACTAAAATCTCARAAACTGTCACATATAGACATAGACTAACAAAGAGATGGAACTATGTTTGCTTTATGACTTGGCACTCCGAACCTCACGGTCCCAGAGGTCTGTTTCTGTCCTCTCGCCCCTTTGGGAGTCGTGGTGATGGTTAAAGGAGTGAAGCTGAGTTCCCAGGGACCCAGCCCTGGACTTGGAACTAACACACAAATCCCGTGGCTCCAGTTAAGGAATCTCTATTTACCAATGTGTTGAGGTTTAACCCCAGCCAGCAACTGAGTTAGCACGGAGCCACTTGTTCCCTGTCACCTGCCCCCTGCTGCGGTGGGATGGGGGAATCAGAAAGAAAGGTAAAATCTGTGGGTTTAATAATTGAATTAAAATATAATAATACTAGTAAAGAAAAGGGAGAGTAGTTAAATTCAAAGAAGACAAACGTTGTACAATGCAATTGCTCAGCACCTGCTGACGGATGCCCAGCCCATCCCCAGGCATCAATCAGCACCTCCTGGCCAGCTCCCCTTTTGTAACACTGGGCCTGACATTCTATGGTATGGAGTATCCCTTTGGCCAGTGTGGCTTCTTTTGTACATGTTCACTGGCAGAGCATGGAACACTGAAAAGTCCTTGATRTAGTGTAGCTGCTTAGCAACAACAAAAACATCAGTGTGCTATCAACATTATTCTCCTGCTACAGCAAAAACACCAGCTTACTAGGAAGAAAATCAGCTATTCCAGCTGAAACTAGGGACAATGAAAGACCAGGGTTTGAGCTAAGATGTCCAGTTTATGAGAAGTTTAGTATGATTTGGTTTGTACTATTTGTTTGTAAGTGTTAACATTGCAAAATGAGTAACTTGAATGTAGATAGGTTTTAACTGCAGTTGTATGTTTGCCTATCAGATTAATACAGAAGGAAGAAAGCAACCTGTATAATAAATAATGTTCTTTTAGTGAATAATTAGTGCATACYTTTTTCTCCTTCCACACACAGGTTAAACCAAAGCCACTATTGTTGAAGTTGTTAAAGTTAGCTGGTGCTGAAAAGGACACTTTTACTATGAAGGAGGTGAGAAATTTTAATCTCTGAAGGTAGACTACAATAACAGATAGACTGTTTCGTTTTGGGTGAATGGGTGGGGCAGTCTTGTTTATAGCTTCTATAGAAATTATTGAGACTGTGTTTATTCTCCTGCTGACATGTAACTGGCTATTTAGATTCTCAAAAATCTGAACAAGTTTTGGTGGTCAGTAGAATAGCAGTGTTCTTGCAGAATGATAGATGAAAATCTGTCAGCTCAAAAGGAATCCTAGGCACTCAGAATTTGAAGAGTAAATTTCAATTTGTCTTTTACACTTAAACTTGAAACAACAACATGGGTATTTAATGTCTGTATTTCATTTATTTCACAGGTAATATTCTATATTGGACAATATATTATGTCTAAACAATTATATGATGAAAAACAGCAGCATATTGTACACTGTGCAAATGATCTCCTGGGGGATTTATTTGGAGTAACAAGCTTTTCAGTAAAAGAACACAGGTAAAATGGGATTCTTTTCTGAGAGTCTGGTTGGGAAATAATGAAGAGCATAATTAATATGTCCTTTTTTAACTCTTCGCATCTTCAAAGATGGTAAGCTCTCTTTTGTGATTTTATGTAGCTAACTTGTATAATCTCTTTCTTTATTCCTATTTAAGGAGACTATATTCAATGATTTCCAGAAATCTGATAGTAATCAATCAACAAGGTAAGCTAGTTTAGGAGGATGATTTGTTTTGAGAAACAGCAGTAGAGAAAACATAATTTACATTAAGCATCTTGCAGGCAGAGATCAGCTAACAGYGATCTCTCCATTATTAACTGTTTGGCTTTACTCACGTGTCCAGAGCAGTGCATGGTATAGTGAATTCAAAGCAGACATTGTTTATTTGGGTGGACAAAAGAATTCTGAGCAGCATTTGAGTTTTGTTGGACTAGAACCAGAAAAAACAGAACAGAATAAAAAGAGCACTACATTGAAAGCTTAGTCATTTGCTTGTATTTGTTATGGATTAAGGTATCAACAACATAAAAAGATTTAATATTAAAAATTAGCTTCTTGAACTTATGCCAGCAATGAATTTTGGGCAAATGCTCTTTTTTTTCTGTTTTAAGTTCTGTTTCAGTTTTCACAACTGAATGTGAAGCACATTTTGTACTGCTCATTCTTAGCTACACTCAGTCCTGTTTTAAAAGATCTGTATACTTTAAAAAGGTAGCTTTGTGGTGATTCTGTGGATAGATGCTCCTTTAATGGAGAATATACAGTCTTACAGTATAGAAGTGTTCAATATAGCAATATTTTTTCAATTTTTGCCTAATACAAATACAGGATGTGAAACAGAAGAAAAATGATAGAAACCGCTTTGTAAATTGGCTTCTAAATCTGTATAAATGCATCCTTTGTTTCTGTTTTTTCCTGAAGGCAAGTGTTCAGCTCCTGAAGATGGGAAACATGCTCTCTTTATTATCCCCATTATTGAGCTTGCAGACTTAAATTTATCTTTCTATTCTTTTTTCATGAAAGTCTGTATTAATTCAGGCTACATCTGTTAGTAGGCATATGGCATTAACAGCAGTTATTTTTTTTCTATTTTATGTCTTTTTAACTCAGTGTTCCCATAAGGTGATAGGTAGTAAAAAGCACTTTGTAGAGGAGGAAGTAATTAAATTTCCTGCTAATATTCTTTCCTATCTGCAGAACTACAGCTTATGCACAGCCTTCATTTGAAGCCATTTRTAATAAAATTCTGAGCTGCTTTGCAGTTGACATTTCTTCTTCTTTCTCCCTACATTCCCGCTTCAGTAATGTTACAGGAAAGGTTCTGCACATACCTAAAACCCAAGGGAACTGTATGGTTTTTTTCCATTGTTGCAAAATGTCTGGATTTTAAGTTTTATTTAGAATTTACTTTTTGAGCCTGAAATTGMCTTTTTCCAATATGTGGTAATTCGGATTTTATTTTGATTTGGTTTCAGACTCTACCCTTGGTGACACACCTGAAGATGATGCCACATGTCAGCCTGAAGAAGAAAATGTTCTTAAGGTGATAGTTTTGTTTTATTTCAGTTGATTTTCTGAGTAATAAATTCTATTTAGTTTTGCATGATAGTGTCAATGGTTTAGATATAATAACTTCATTCTAGCCTTTTATCTCATATTCATGCTCAGGCTTACTCTGTATTTTTGTTACTCAGGAGTCTATGCAAGAGTCAGAAGAGAAGCAGACTTCATCAAACGTGACTTCTCGACCTACTACATCTTCTAGGAGGAGGACACACAGTGAATCTGGTATCTGCACATTTATGATGCAGAGCTTTGAGTGGCATGGCCACCTAGACGAAAAGCTACATTCAAGCCTTGCTGACTTGAAAGATGCTGCCAAATACTATCCAAGTATTTCTCTGTTTATCTAAAACAAAATATTCAGTCTGCAAGAAAAACACAATTCCTTGCATTGCTCCAGTGTCATGTTACAGTTTGGATCTCTAGAATTGTTAGCAAGATGATGGAACTTGCTCCAGAGCTCTGTTAAACTTGTTCACATCAGCAGGACTTAATCAATTGTGTTATCTTCATGATGAGAACACTTTTTTTTTTTTTTGTAACAGACTGATACAATCAAATTCATTTCCATTCCTTCTGTAGACAGCCACAAAATTTGACATTTTGTTTGTTCGCTAAAGGCAATTTTCTTTGGACTTCCATTGGTGGAAGGCATCAAAGGTGTAGTACTAACACAGGATGATTTTGTGTATATTTAGRTACCTCACCATTCATTAAGCACTTGTTAAAACATCTGGTGACCTAAGCATCATATTTACCTCCCCTTTATCTTTACTGTGGTTATTCAATAATCACTGGCACATACATTTTCAATATACGAAATGTTTCTTTTAAAGTAGCAATAACAAGCTGGTCAGTGTAAACCTGAAGAGGTTTCTCAATGGAAGTGTCCTGTACAGTGCTACTTAAACACTATTGTGTGGAATTTCTTATATTAGGTTGTTTCATCACTTACATATCTTTCTTCCTGACTTGATGGTTGTRATTACTTGGGCAGTGATAACCTTCAGCCACTGCACAGTGCTTCATTTTCTTCACTTGCTCAGGAGCATTTTTCAGTTCTTCAGCTTTTGAGTAGTATTTTTTGTGTCCCTTGTAGGCCACTATTATGTTAAGTCAGTCCAAAACCAGTGCTGCGTGCTGAGCGGTTTGCACTAAATTAAAAGAACGTTTTAATGTTGTAACTAAAACTAATGAAAGGATGGAAAGCCTTGGTTAAATATCACAACCTGTAATATTTAGGCATGACCCAGAGCACATAAGGTCCTGTGTTGTGCTTACTTATTGTAGGTTTGATTATTAACTCTTGTCTTTGCATCCATTTATTAGTTTGTTACAGCCTTAAAAGTTCTTTTAATATAGTGTTTTTATATACACTTTTTTTCTAATTTATAGGAAATCTTCCCTTTAAGCCACTATTCTTGTTAAATTGGGATGGTAGCGGCTCCTTTGGAGCCACTTAAATAGTGTATAGAGACCTTGTGGTGATACAATATCAGTACGGCATGGAGCCATGACAACTAAATGAGGACAACGATGGACAGGAGCAACCCTTGGGCCTGAGGGCGCCAAGTTTGGTGGGGCTCTCAGGGCGGAAAAAAGAAAAGAGAGGGGCTGAGCCAAGAAGCACCAAGGGAAAGTAAGAGAAGTTTCAAAGTATGTACAAGTGTTTTGTTCTCTTTTTTTTTTTTTTTTTTTCACATTGAACGATTCAAGACTTGAAGACTTGTGGATAGTCACTGTGTTTTGCAAGGCAAGGGAGAAGCTGGGCAGTAGAGGGTGGGTGCAGAAGGCACCTGTGGGGGCCAGCAGGCTCCTGCTGAGGTCTGAACCATAAGTTGTCTGCACCTTGGGAGGTTTTCACTTCATGGCACTGACATTCTTTACAACACGTTTTTTAATGAAATTATTTTTTACCAAATGCTCTAAAAGTCAATGGAGCTGAATTTTGACTATCTACCCCAAAAATGCTGTATCCTTACTCCTTGTGCTGCTATAGACGACTTCCAAAATGTGTTTACAAAGCATTGTCTTTTTGCCTTCAAACCAAACGTGCTTATAAGCAGAGCTTAAAGCAATGCTTTCAGAGGTCAACTTTTGCATAGTATGTCTTAAAGATTTTCTTGCTGGGTGTGATGAAAGTTCTGATGGTTTGTTACAAAAATCTTGTTGAGTAAATACAATTGCATATAGTGCGAATATTCACTGATAAATTCGTTGAGGTGTCTGAAACTTGAACCTGAACTTAACTTTCTTAGCACAAGGCTGTCTGTGTGCRTGGGACCTGGGAGCTAATTGTTCTGTCTCCCTGCAAATTCTGGGATGGACTCAGAAGCCCTCTGAAAGTGCCTTTCTGCTTATTGACTGTGGAGGGAGTGAGGACAAGATTCTAATTGTGTTTCTTAAAATTAGAAAGAGTTTAACATGTCATGTAGGGAGTAAAAATTCTTTCAAATTCGCAATTGTTTAATTTCCTACATGTGGAGACTGCTATTCATAAGCTTTACTAATGAGACAAATGTGGAAAGCCAGCCCCTGAAATACTGGTTTCAGAAATRTTTCACACTTTTTGGGTATAAGTGTTGTGTCTTTTTAAATAAGTTTTAGTGCCTTTTTCCTCCCATAAAATAATACTGAAATATTTTATTTTACTAGATTTCTTCATAGGAAATTGTATTTTAAGCATCTGTTAAAAATATTCAAAACTGTGTATTGAATAGATGTTGTTTTAGTAACTAAAAATTCTTGACTATGCCCAGAAGAAAATTCTTCAGATGATCTGCCTAGTGATAGAAGAAAGCGACACAAGTCAGACAGCATTTCATTGACGTTTGACGAAAGTCTCTCATGGTGTGTAGTCAGTGGTCTGTGCCGTGAAAGAAGCAATAGCAGTGATTCAACAGATTCTCTGTCTATTCCTGTAAGTAAAAATAGAAATGTAAAATACTTTTGTGGTACAAATTTTGCAGATGCCCCAAATGCAAACATGCATCTGAAAACATGTTCTTAATTAAAAGCAGCAGTGCCTTCAGTGGTGTCTGAGGAAAGAAAAGAGGTTAAAAAAATTGGTGTGTGGGTGGAGTGTGTCATTTCATGGATCTGCTGGCAAAGCTAAAGTGAAATTTTTTTAAATATTAACATTGAGTAGTCTTTAAAAACCARGATCCTCACTGCTTGGCACAGGATGAGAAAAAATCAGATGCATTTTGTGTTTTAAAATTGTTTTTYAGAATGGTAAGAGACAAAAGGAGTCATAGACATTCCATAATTCAGAATTAGTTGTAGTTTTGGTACAATTTTGTTGACTGTCCCCAGCAGTAAGTATGCTGATGGTACATTTTACTCATTTGCCGTGYCGCTACTTGAAAGTTATCTGTTGTTTTTAGGAAACACCAAGGCAAATTATTTGTGGTTAGATTAARTCAAGCGCTAAACTAGCAGTATTCCTAGTCAAGTACTGTATTCTAAATTGACRGAACTAATACTGTGTCTTTGGTCTCCCTATTTTGTAATGATTTAGCCACAGTCCCAGATGAAACAAAGTTGGTGAGAACAGAATTTAATGAATGCAGCCAAAAGATACTGTCTTCTTGCATCTGTTCTTTCACTTTTTAGGAGGGACTTTCTGAAATAATAACCGCAGTCTTTCAGCTGGCTGTACGCTGAGTGCAGCTTTTTATTACAGAGCAAACAAAAGGCTTTCAGATTTATCTTTATTTTTACCTACCTGTAATTTGTTTGTTGCATAAAAAGTTCTCTAGTGGCAGCTGGACCTTTTTCTTCCATAGGTRATTATACTGAGTAGTAAGTTTTATCCTAAGAGTTGTTTTAACAGTAGTGTTATGTGTATGGACTGGTGAGGTTGAATGTCTGCTTTCTTTTGTTTTTTAAGGATCTTGATGCCAGTTCATTAAGTGAAAATTCTGATTGGTTCGACCACAGTTCTGTATCAGACCAGTTCAGTGTTGAGTTTGAAGTTGAGTCTATTTATTCAGAAGATTATAGCCATAATGAAGAAGGGCAGGAGCTCACAGATGAAGATGATGAGGTACTATTTGCTTTCCTTGTTTGACCCTAGGGGGAGGGGATGAGAAGGAAAAGGAATCTCAACATGAAGTAATCCTGTAGGTTTCCAAGGAGATCTCTCCACGTGTATCTTTGAACTGCATGTGCTTTGGCACATTCTGCACCCAGTTGTTCATTAAATCAAACTATTTTTYGGTGCAGTTGGGTCACCATTATACACCCCAAAGGCAGTGACTGAAAGGGTGCTGAGGCTTTCTGCAGGCTCTGAAATGGGGTGGATGTGGCAGTATGTGTACTTGAGTCTTTCTGTGTTTTTAATTCTAGAAGTATGCATTGAGCTTTGACAACACTTTATATTGGAAAGGTTTCCAAGTAACTCTTTGCCAAGGGATGTTTCCAAGTTTTTTGCCTCTCTGAATATAAATGTTTCATAGAGATGCTGAAACACAGTTTTAGATATTTTCATTAGTAAGCAAGAAGACAGAAGTACTGTGATTACCATAATTTTCAAGAGATGTCTGGAATGTGAGTGAGAATCTATGTGGGGTTTTCTTTCTGGGTTAGTGTTCYGTTACTTTAGAGAGGTTAATTAGCTAATGGCAAGATTGGTTAAGTATCAGAGGCAGAATTCACCAGGGACATCCATGAGTGTGGTACCTGAGAGTTTGAATGGGACTGACTGTACTGATGTACAGCACATAGTATAGTGCAGAGCTGCACCCTGAGATAAGACAGTGATTTGGAGGAGGAAAGGATTGAGGGGTGCCCCTGCTCCAGACAGTAGTTCTGAGAATTGCAGAATGACTGGTGTGGGAAGGGGCCTCTGGCGCTTGTCCTAGCCTCCCACCCTGGCTCAGGCAGAGCTGATAGGCCAGGTCCATGTGCAGATGTCTTTTGAATATGTCCAAGGATAGAGGCTTCACAGATGCTCAGGGCAACCTATGCCAGTGCTTCTTCCCCCTCGCAGTCAAAAGTTTCTTGTGGCATTCAGAAGGAACCTCCTGTGTTTTAATGTGCTGGTTCCTCTTGTCCCGCCACTGGACATGACTGAAAAGAACGTGGCTCTATCTTCTCGATGCATTCCTTTAAAGTATTCCCTGCCCTGAACTGTCCCCAGACTGAATGGTCCAAACCCTTCCTGCCTTTCCTCGTGTGAGAGCTTCTCTAATCTGTTAATGAGGGTAGTAGCCCATGCCTGGAGACTCTCCAGTAGCTTCCTATCTGAAAATCTTACCAGGTTAAAAATACTTCGGGTTTTTAATTAAATGCCAAAAACCTGTTTGTTTGTTTATTTTTAATTTAAACCAGGTTTATCAGCTGACTATTTACCAGGATGAAGATAGTGATGCTGATTCATTTGATGAAGATCCAGAGATTTCTYTAGCTGTGAGTAAAAACTTGTTGGGTGAAGCATCATAAGTTGGGTGAACTGACAGAGTAGATCAAAAAGTACAGATCAATTCTGTTGCTACCAGTGATTTTTTTAAGAATTAAATTGACTTTTTCTTCTATGCATGAAGGTTCCAATACAATATTTGAACCACTGAACATGTGATTATTAAGGAATCTTGATTTATTTTTCTTTTATAATTACTAAGCTTCCTAATCTATTTTAAAAAACTCAACCCCATGCTAAATTACCATTTCATTGACTTTATGGAAGGAAATTACTTGGAGCCTAAATCTGACTGCACAAAATGAAAAAATATTAAAATCTTAAATAATTTGCATTTTAAAATCTCCTTGTATAAATCAGAATATCTAGTTTTGTTGTCCATCGTGAATGACGGTAACATATAGATAAGAGGGCAAGCCTTTTTTCAGAACAGTAATGTAAAAGTCAAAGGGGCTTTTACTATGCTCTCTTAGACCATTCTTGAAGAGTGAGAAGAAATTTATAGTCTTGAGGCAAAGTATGGAGATGTATGTGAAAAAACACTGCATTTTAATTCTAGTGTGTGCTGTCTCCTTACTTAAATTTGCTTTTCACAACTGAAGCTTGAATTAAAGCAGTTTTCTGTGGCTGTCTCGTGTTCCAGTCCACTGAGGAACTTTAGGACTGAGGAACTTTACTCTGTGAGACATGGCTGGCCACCTTCTGAAAACAAAGCAGTGCTTACGTGTGGGAAAAGAGACCTGTTCATTATCTTTAGGATTTAAAATTGGTCTTTTAAGCTTTTGATGTTACTGATGTCAGGATTTGTCTAAATAAGTTTTTGGATTGGGTTCTTATTTTGTTTGATTCCCCCTACAGCTTGCATTATTTCTAAGGAGGGTGTCCTTAAAAAGAAAATGTATTTTTAACGAGTTAGTGATTTATTTTCATTTTAATGTATGGCGTAATGTTTGAAAGGCTGATGCAGCACTTTTTTTTTTTTATTTTTTTTTTAACCTTTTTCCCCTTTTTTCCTGGTCTGTTTTTCCTTTGACCAATGTTTTCTCTCATGCGGTTGTGTTGGAGCGCCGTCACGCGGCCGTTTTGTGCACCAACAGCTCAGCAAACCACAGGCGAATAGTCTTGAGTATTTCCCGTTGAAGTCTGTAGTCGAAAAGAAGGGAAATGGTGATCTTTTTAAGAAGTTTTTCGTGAGGTCCCCTGAAAGATTTTTGTGGTCTTGCTTCTGCGGTTTTGCATAAGAAATAATACATTGTTCTATTCATAAACCTACTGCAAAAAGAAGGAAAAGCAGAATAGTTTTAAAACAAGAACTATTTTAATTTAGAACTGTAAAATGGGGCCAAAACCACTAAATGGAATTTTTAAATTGTAAACAAGTTGGTAGCTGAACATAATAATTATTTTGACAGTAATAAATTGTTTGCAGTCTCTGAGTACTTCAGCTGTAAGTGTTTCAAGTAGCTTAAGCTGTTCCAATCTTTGATTCACTAAAGGATTATTGGAAGTGTCCCGAGTGTAGTGAAATGAATCCTCCACTACCACGACATTGCCACAGATGCTGGGCTCTACGTGAGGATTGGCTTCCAGATGAAAAGAGTGAGAAACTGGAMAAGAGCAAATTAGAAGGCTCCTTCCCTGCAGAGTCTGGAGAAGGTTTTGATGTTCCTGACTGCAAGAAAACAAAAATGACTGAAGATAAAGAGCCAGCTGTGGATGAGAATGAGGATAAAGCAGTACAGATTTCTGAGTCACAGGAAAGTGAAGGTTATTCCCAGCCATCAACATCAAGCAGCATGTTTTGTAGCAGTCAGGAGGACTTTAAGGAGCCTGAGAAAAGAGAATCGCAAGACAAAGAAGAAAGCATGGAATCCAGTCTGCCTGTTACCAGCATAGAGCCCTGTGTCATATGCCAGAGCAGACCTAAAAATGGCTGCATAGTACATGGCAAAACAGGACACCTCATGTCGTGTTTTACGTGCGCAAAAAAGCTGAAGAAGAGGAACAAACCCTGCCCGGTGTGCAGGCAGCCCATACAAATGATTGTACTAACTTATTTTAGTTAAACACATGTTGACTGGAATGCTGCAAAAGAAACTTCATGAACTGTTTAAGAGAGTAAGAAATTATTTTTGTATGCTTACTGGAAGATTAATATTTTGTGTCTCTTTACATTCTGTATGAAAAATAATTGTTGACATAAATGCACTGAAGTTATTAAGAGGTTTGCCTAATATTTGTAAGTCAACTTGGAGATCTTAMATAACTTTCAGTAGAAATAACCAAGCCTTGTAAACCACCTGCCTCTCCAAGTGTTTAATGTTCCATGCAAGGTAGTGACATTTGTTTTATTGAATTAAATACACACATTAAAACCCCCAATTCAAGGATTGTTGGAGGAGAGACATGTTGGAGTGTTGATTCCTGCAAGTTCCTCTTTTAAGAGAATAGATTACCCAGGGGTAATCTAGTCTTATGGGTGAAGACATAAGGTTCAATCAGACCCCTCTGAATAAGTCAATAAAATTAATAAATAGAATCTTGATTTAAATTCTTCCAAGTATCCAAATTATGTGGGAGATCTTACCAGGAAATGGGGAAATATATGGTAGAAAATAATTAGTACTTTGGAAACAGAAAAGGATATCATGTGTCATTTATTTTTATAGTGTGCATTGTAAATTTTGGGGCTGTGTGTCCCCTGAGAAATCATTGATCCAAGCTCAGTCATACAGCTCTCTCTCTCAAATGTCTTGAGAAACTAACAGTTGAGGGTTTGGAGGTCTGTACTATCCTGATTATGATGATTATCATTAATTTAGCAGCATGAGAAAAGTCTCAGGCAGACAAGATGAATGAAGGATATTCTATGTATTCTCATGTCAGGGAGTATTAGGGGACGGTTGTTTTCTTTTTGTTGTTTTTGTCTTCAGAATACATGCCACTGCATTGCTACATTCGTAGAATAAAAGCAGTAAGAAAAAAAGTCCACCTTCATCTGAAGAAACAAGTAAGCTGTGCAGTTCTAGTTCATGTTCTTTAAGTTCAGTAGTCTTTCCAACTCACTGTTCTTACCTGTATCACAAGAATTCTGAAAATCTGTTGCAAGGTCTTTGGTCAACTCCAAATTGGTGTCGTTGGACCTGTCCTTTACTGCTTTTACATCTTGTCTCCTCACTGTACTTTGTGAAAAACTGTGTGAAACTCACCAGTTCTGTGCCCAGGGAGTCTGCTGACTGCCTCAGTTCTGGGAGCCTTCAGACTCTGTAGAGTATGGAAATGAGGATATGGTAAAGATCACTCAGTTCCTTCTCATGGAGAAGTTTCTGTGCATRGAAGTTTCTGAAACATGGAGAGTTTCTGTGTCAGTGAGGGATATTTATTCCTTTGGAAAACTATGTTACAAGAGAAGTTGCGTATTTTTAGCACCTTTTGTTTTTACAGGTAGTTAGTGATCATCTGCCCAATAGGGAATGACAGACAGGGGAGTGCCAAGAATGGAGGTGTGGCCAAGGCTGAACAGCTTCCCTGACACCAGCACTATAAAATTACTGATGCCTGTGTGCTGGCACAGACTTCTACTGCTCTCTTTACCTCCATGGCTGCAAATGCCTGGAGGTACCTAAGAAAATGACATAAAGATGTACAGGAGAAACTCAGTAAATCCTTGGTTGTGACTTGGTTAAAAAATATTAACTTCATAGATAAAGTCTAAATTATTGGGATCATTCACATTTTATTCATACATTTGAGCTGTTTTTTAAAAAATACCACTAGAAGATACTGTGTACCTGAAGTTCTAATACAGTTCATTTTTGAACTAAACAAAATATAAACCCCAGTTGTTTACATGCAAATTCTTACTTGCAAGTTTCTTGCCCCTTTGTAAAGTCTGTAAAGTGACAGCAGGTCGCTGGAAGTTGTTCAAAGTTTTTTGATCAGCAGAAACCTTTCATGAGTTTTACAGAATTTGGTAATCCTACAGCCTGAGATGAAGGCCTTTGGGCAGATAGTTAATTTTTTCAAGTGAGGATACTAACAGAGAGTTACCTGCCTTAATTTGCACTTCCTATTTTTTTTTTATTTTTGATTTGATAAACTTTTCTTYGCACCTGCAGGTGAGAGAACTGTAGATGTGTCTATGCAGGAGCATCAGTAACATGAAGAGTGTCCCTAAAATGCTTCATCTATAAGCTTTGCCTGTTGCATTGCTCCCACGCCTTCCCCTTTTTCAGTGTGATGCCTTTGCTGCAGTCACTGCCCTGGCTGTGTAAGTGCAGTGCTGGAGGAGCAGCTGTCCTTATCTAGTTCCTGTTAGGACAAATTGTACCATCCCACTCTTGGCATTCTCTTCCAGTCACATGCCTTCTGTTGCAGAGAATAGCTCTGGAAATGCCTTCCACTCGATACATTGGTGAGAAAATGGGGAATTTTGATTTCTACATCTGCAAATCACTGTGTCAAATATTTTGGGTTAAGTTACATTTTATGACTTAATATTTTCTTAATGACTTCTAGTACAACTTCCATTTGTCTGGTGTGGGGGCATGCCTTCCAAATGGGTATTGGATGGGTATTGATGCCTGTTCCTGCTCCTCTCAGGGACACTGGCAGGCGAGTGCAAGTGCAGGCTTGGTGGGCTGTGTCTGTGACAGGGTGACTCCCGTGGTGACACTGGCTGTGGCCTGGAGCCTTTGGCTCTGCCTTCATCCTGTATCTCAGCTTGGCCATGCTCTTATCTGTGGGCATGAGCAGCAAGCACCCTGCTTCTTCTGGCCCGTAAACGCATTTCTGACCTTGGGTAGTTGTACGAAAAGTAAAGTTTTGGTACAAGAGTTCTTTGGTGAGGTGTTTGGATCATTATTTAATATCGCACACATTTTAATCTTTAATTTATTGTTGTTTGTAAATATCCTAGTGCTCAGGTTAATGTTTTGAGCTCTAATTTATTGAATTAGTCTACTGGTACATGTGTAGTTATATAAATACGCTTATTTAGTAAATTACAGGCACAAGAAAAATATTTTAATAAATGTAGCATTAAAATACAGAGAAGTATGCATATTATATTCAGATTAAGAAGGGCACAGGAAGATTRTGGCTAGGTTTCTTTTTTTCCTTCCCTTAAAACAACTGCACTGAGCCTGAACAACATTTATTATATAGAGATGGAGTTAGTGCAACATTAACATAGTGAAAATATTTTGGTGGTGTTTTGCTTTCCTTTGGAATGCTTTTGCATCTCTGAGTACAGGCAAGGCTCTGACTGACTGCTTCCGGCTGCTGGTAACATTGGGAGTGATGGTCTAGAAGATGCAGGATGGTGATGGGAGGCTTTAAGGTTAATTTGCAGCATTTGGTAATGGCTTTTGCCTTTGGACACGGGACCAAGAAGGTTGTAGGGGAGGCCAGATGCTGACAGGATGTCTGTACACAATTTTCTTAGTTTCTTCCATCTTGATCAGGTACACAATAGTTATGTACAAATGGTGGAAGAACTCACATTTATTTTTTATAAAGTAAATAAACCTTGTATTGTAAACCTGTATTTAAACTTCTTGTTTAAATACAACTCTATAACTATYTACCTATTTATTAGCATTGAAATTATATTAGTATTGAAATTCACCTCACACTGGCAGGATCACGGGCCGTGCCATCCTGCACCGCTCCTGTTAGCAGCTGATTTAGAAAGGGTAAAGTGCTTCAAAAGGTTCACTGATTAAAAGCTTGCATCTCTTCTAATAGTGTGGTACAATTTTATCACTGAGTTCTGTTTGCTGTAAATTTGTTCAAATGTTGTCTCTGAAGTGTCTCTGGGTATGAGGACACATGCAGGACTTCAGGCAGAATTTTTTTTCTCTTATGACTAACGAGAGGAAAAAAAATTCCTAGTTCTTACAGAAGGTGTCAGTAAGAATAATTGTCTCAGAAAATTGTGTCTTACAAAAGAGATTAGAAAATTATTAGAAGTATAATGAAACTGAATAAACAGGAGGAATACAAGGGTGAAGGTTTTTTCTTCCCCATCTTTATTTAAAGCTGTTGCTGTGTTAGGGTATAACTGAGTTTATGATTTTAAAACAGTAATTTATTGGGTATATTAATTTGCCACACRCATGGTGGGCATGTAATCCCTTATCCCAGGCAGATACGATATTTTGTTGGGCAGATTTTGTCCTGAAAAGGGGCATTTGTTGTTGTGGTGCTTCCCTGAGGGAAAGAGCATTGGACACGTTCATGGGACTTGTGGATGGGCAGCATAGTGGAGGGCTGTGGGGTCACCTTGGTTCTGCAGCATAGCAGAGCTTTGCTAGAGCATCAGTCCTCAGCTCTTCTCAGTGATTACCTGCCCTGCCTTTTCCAGCTCCTCCATACCAGAGTCCCAGGCATATCTTCTTCTTTAAAGGTTGCACAAGGAAAGCACAAAACCAGCTTAAGGTTTTTACAATGGATTGCACTTGGCTTCTAACTAAAGTGTGGGGGCTTTGTTGTTGGTTTTTTTGKTTTTTTTTTTTTAGCACAAATGCACTGAAAGCTTCAAGTGAATTCCTCTCTAGTGTATCTACAGCTATATTATACATGTGAAGTTTGTCAGTGATATTTAAAAAGGTGGTGGCTCCCCTTTGGAGTAGATGTTTTAGCTTAACCGCCTGATTYTAAAGGACAGTTCTTGGTCTTGAGCCAAAGTAGTTGCAGTCGGGATGATGATTAATTAATGCCTAAAATACCAATAGCTTTTCTAAAATCAGTCTTTGACTACACATAGGTGGAATGACTGTTAAACAGAGTAGTTCATATTTAAATGACTATGCAACATGCTTTCAAGAGCTTGACCTGGTGTATTACTTTCCAGCTGCACGTATGACCACAGTCAGTAACCATTAAAATGCAACTATCCACTCCAATTGCACAGAGTTTAAACCTATTTATGAGACGTTTCACGTGTGTTGCATTTATCTTTCTGTTTTCAGTTTTTCCTTTTCTGAGGGAAACTGAGTACTGTGTTCTATTTAAAAGCTTTAAATAAAGATTTGTTTATATATTCCATAGTGCTCCTTTTTTTCATTTCAATGATTTCATTGTTAGAAATTCTGGTACTTGATTTCCAGCTAGATTCTTATTTCTGTGAGCCAGCATGCAGCTCTTTCTGCACTCAGGTGCTGGACTTCTGACTTCTGTCAGATTTTGTCAGTTTGGGAGATTTTAACTCAAGGAGTCTCTCCTTCCTGCTGCAAATGGCAGGATCAGTGATGGGATTTAGTGGACAATTCTCTGTGGTAAACAACCAMACCAGATCAGAGGGCATGAAGAGGTAGAAAATGCAAATGCATATGAAGAAGACATTAAAAAAACAGTGTCTTGCACACACAGCCCTCATTGCTATCAGCATTGCTGTTTGAAGTAGTGTATTCACACATTGAATGTGCCCGTCTGGCAGACAAGTGGCTGATGCCCAAGCTCCACAGCCCAGCTGGTAGGGCTTGGTGTGACAAGCAACATGCCTCAGGAAAGATTTTAAAAGGCTCTAAAGGATTAACTGCATTCCTGCATTTTTAATTTACTGTATACAGGGAAAGATTGATGTTTCCAAAGATAATCTTTGCTGGTTTACTTTTGAAATTGCTTAAGAAAATTACTGGTAGATAAAGCTTTAAAATAAACACAGGAGATAGAACTAACTGGTTTTTCTTGATAAATTTTGTGTTTATTGGGCAGCTTCAAAGGGCCCTGAAAATGACTCGCAACTGGCCAGGCAAAAGGAATCTGCTAATCCTGCCTGCAGTACAGCCCAGCCAGGGGACACACTGAAATCAGCCTCTGTAACCGGAGCTGGCTTGTGCCTTGCTGAGTGTGCCTGCCAGCTCCTGGCGTGGATATCCCAACAGTGCAGTAGCAGGGCTGTGAAGCTACTTAAACAATACAAAGCCATTGCTAAAACTATTCAAAGAATTCTGAATTGCATGTAGTTCTGTCCCACAACAAATTCCATTAAAAATTGAGAAGGTGTAACGCTGTCCATGACTTTCCACATTGTTTTCAGCAGCTCTACTGTAGGCAAACACTGTTTACAGAGCCACAAATTCCTCCCTTTTCTCTGTTGGTACAKATTAACACCCAACGTCCACAGCATGGCCTTTCAGCACACACTCACACTTCATTTTCATCTTCTTGTCTTAAAATGTGTCTTTGTTACTGATCTTTACCTCATTTGAGCCCAGAGCAGTGTCATCTGTCCAGGTAAGAAAGAGCATATATGAAAATGCCATTCCTCATTTATACCAGTGGCTTTATTATGAGAAATTAGTATTGAGTTCATCACTCATGTCGCACCTGAGCTGTTGGCTCAATGAGGAACCTGAGCTTGCACAAAACATTTGCAGTACGATCGTCACTTTTTTTGCATTTGGGAGAAGTCTTCAAAATACTTTCTACATCAAAATTCTACAGTTATCTCCATACGCTGTACAAAATTTTGTCAGGCTAAAATACTTACATAGAAAAATATGATAGTCGGTTACAATTAAAAATATGAGTCTGTTATTACTAAAGTAAAACATTCAGTTGTCAAGTCAGTATTTTGTGAAATACAGTAAACACGATTGTGAATCTGAGCATTTGGTCTATAAAAACATACATTCTTTTGCACATACAATTCCTTCTCTGAAAAGCCACATTTGTGCAGAAAGGTTTTGCCTTTGTCATTCCTGACTTCATTTGAAAATTACAAGCATAATGGTCATTAAAACCAAGATGTTTAGGGTTGGTTTTACTGCAGCTGAAGTCCGTGCGAGCTCTTGGTAGAGGGGAATTTTGGGACATGAAGCAACTCTTGATCTGATCTGATCTGAGACCTCTGAGAAGGAGAAGTCCTGTTTCAAAGCACTGAAGTTACCAGTGTTGTCAGGTATTTCCACTGTCTTCAACATCGATTTAAATCCTGGTACAGTAGCCTAGGAGCAAACACAAAAGTGTTCTTCCTTGGTTTGAAACATTGAKTTCAACTGTGAAACAATCATTGTTTATACTTTAAATGTACAGGAGAAATGTTCTAAAGATACATTTGAGAACATGGCATGAGAGAAGAGTAAAGTTTTCCCATTATAGCAATAAGATAAGACTTGCTGCACAAGAGAGGGAATCCCGCAGTGAAGCTTAAGCATAAGCCCTTGGCAGCAGGCAGAGCCTACAGGGCAGGGATGTTCTCTAGTACTTCCACAGAAACTATTTTGACAAAGGAAATGACAGTCACTGGTGGTGGTGTCAGCCCAGAGCTGCCCGGATCCCAGGCTCCACCCTCTCACCCTGCAAGAGTTCCGTTTGTTGTTCCAGTTTGTTTCAAACACCACAAGCTCCTGTTGCCCTGCACCAGGTCTCCAGCTGGAGCCCAGCTCATCCTCACTGGCTCCACCATCAAGGTCAGAGGAGTGCTTATCTCTCACATTGAGGACTGTATCACAAGATTTCCTTTCTGCTAATGTTTAAATATACTATATAGAAAGTCTGCTAAACAGTCTTTAGAGCTCATATCTGTGACTTGAGCAGTTCAGCTCACCCAGCTCCAAGGATGCTGTCTCACTGTGCTCAGGAACTCAATACAATTAGTACCAATACTTTAGCAAGGCTGCATACTCACATTGATCACATACGTCCCAGGCAAAAGGAGAAGGAAGTACTCCCCTTGTTCATTTGTTCTGTAGGGGCAGACATGTGGCCTTCCTTTGGCTTCCACGATGGCATTGGGAATGGGATTCCCATTCTTATCAGTAACTTGGCCTTTGACACCTATGAAAAAGGGAGAGGAGAGAAAGATCACGACCTGTAACTGGTGAGCCTTTTTCTCTGAGAAAGTCAGACTGTTCTGTTGCTGGGTGCACTCAAAGGTTATTTCACCACGTTTCAGCATGTCKGATACTATCACTAGTCACTTAGGTCTTACTTAAGGGAATTAAACCCAAAAATCCTTGGCTGTTAATAGTTTACCTTCCTGTGAAGTTAGAAAGCAGTATTGTAATCTCTTCTAAATCTCATTTGCTGAAGGCATTATGCACACTTACTGTATGTCTTTTACTGAAGGATTCCAATCTTCAGTACAGGTTTGGCAGTTTTTTGCACAAACACACCCCCTTCTTTTTTGTAATTTAAAGTAAGTCAGCCTCTTGTCTAGTACTTCCCAAAGGCAGAATACCAACAATGTCTGCTTATGAAGTAGTTTCTCTTAATTCCCACACACATCTTCAAGGCAGCCCAAACATTAAGCAGAGATAAAACAGCAGCCAGATACTTAGGGCAGATATAAAAATGCAGATAAGCAAGAGATTTGTGCAAACCCTTCAACTAATTGTAAAGCACCACAGCTTCACTAAGCAGCAGTTCTCTTCCAAATGAGAAGTCAGATCACACCTAGAGAAGCCTTTCAAATTTACAAAATGCAAGCAGCAAAGACCTATGAAACTTGTGCTGAGGCACACACACTCAGAGACCTTTGAAAGAAGTGATTATTATCCCAAAGCTGCTCAGGATAGCGGACTCCCTGGGAGGGGCACATGGTCAGACAGACCCCGCTCCTGCCCCAGCACATCTTAAGCCCGTAGCACACCATTGCCCCTCACCTGACACACCTGTAAATTCTCCTGCYTTACCCATCCATACCCATTCTCCTTACCCTTACCCAAGTGCTACCCTGGCCTTGTAGCACTTCCTGTTCAGCAGCTCCCAAGTTAACACCAGATCTCCCCTGTGAGCTCTCCTGTGACACTGACCCAGCCTGCTGAGGAGTTCCATCTAAGCTGGCCTTAGCTTTCTCTCCCCATTTGAATACCCACCTAGGTGTACTTGTTTGATGTACTCGATCAGAGCAACTTTGTTGTCTCTCCAGAACTTCTCCAGTTGCTCTGCTGGAGGATATTTACAGCAYGACAGCTCTAATGTAATTTCAAAGCACTGTCCCCAGACATAGTTGTAATCTTGCATTCCACCTTAAAAGTGAAATAAAAGGGTGTTCAGCTGCAAAGAAACACTAAGTTCAAACTAAAAGACAAATAGGAGAGTTAAAATGTTGTACTTGCAGCATACCTATAAGGAAAGTAAAGCAGATAAATTATTTCTCAATGTCACACTTATATTTACTGCCTCCTGTGGAAAACCAATTTAATTATTTACTCTASTTACTCTTAGAGTGTTGTTTTCCACTATATGTCATTTTGGAAATGATGATGATGATTGTGGCTGAGAAAGGGTGGGTCTTTGACTTGAATTCATTCAAGCTTTCCCAACTAAAAAGGAGCAGATAGGCCGGCAAAGGATTTGCCACTGCCAAAGCCATTTCAAGAACTTTTGAAGTCTTTGAATTCAGACAATGTAAACAATATACACAGTGCACAAGCCACATATTCTATTTGGCTACACATAAACAATAAYGAAAATATTTATTTCAGTAATCAAACATTAAAAAATGGATGACATATTAACAGAAAGGAGAAGATCTTGATGCCAAGCAGTGTATGCACATGTGTGTAACCTATACAAGCCTTAAGGGGAACAGAAGCAGCCAAACAGTGACTGCCTCATTCACTTGTGTGATTGCTGGCTGGAAGAGTCTGAAAACACCCAGCTCCTGCTCTGAGAATCAGTGTGAATGAGCTGACTTACTCCCCTCATCAACCCTCTACTCTGACAAAAATCACTGCTCTTGCATCATCAAAGATGGCAGAAGGAAGTGAGAACATCTTACCGGAAGCAGCTGATTAAAGTAACCCTGACATTCTTACCTTCCAGCTGGTACCAAGAGTACCCRTTGGTAATGCCTTCTGGAAAGGTTTGCCTGTTGTCACACCCTGTCCCTTTGTACATGCTGGCATGGTTGGAAGAATAGGTTTTTGCCAGGTGAACAAAGACATCATCATCTGGAGATCTGCTATAGCCATTCAAAGAGCCAGTAACTGCAGAATAAAGATAGCCATTGTGCAAGTCTCATTACTGGTAAAACAAACAGTGCTGGCTTACATACAGGATAAATATTTCCCAAATGGCCATATTAGGCAGTGAATTT